TGTTGGAACCCGGGGGGGGGGGGGGGGGCAGGAGAGGTGTCAGAGGGGTCACCGTACACCTAAAGCCAGGTTCACTCAGGGCAGTGGTCCAGATCCATAGTACTCCCTGGATGCAGGTGAACTACAACTCTAAGACTCAAAGTCAATACCCACCCAACCCTTCCAGTATTTTCAATTGGTCATGGGAGTCCTGCATGCCAAGTTTGGTTCAATTTCATCATTGGTGGAGTTCAGGATGCTCTTTGATTGTAGGTGAACTATAAATCCCAGCAACTAGAACTCCCAAATGACAAAATGCTGCCTATCAGATATTGATATTACGATTCATAACAGTAGCAAAATTACAGTTATGAAGTGGCAACAAAAATAATTTTATGGTTGGGAGTCACCACAACATGAGGAACTGTATAAAAGGGTCATGGCATTAGGAAAGTTGAGACCCACTGCCCTAAAAGCACCAGATCCCACCTGATATTCTGAAGCTATGCAGGATCAGGCCTGGTTAGGACTTTGGTGGGAGAAAATTAACTGCACCGCTATAGAGCCACATCCAATTCCTGGAAAAGTCCGAACTCACAACCCAGAAGCCCTCTTTGTAATGTGCCATGCAAACCCACCGCAAGGGGAAATTATTCACAGAGGCACGCTTTGCAGCTTAAAGGCAACCTATTAGGGATTAGAAACAGCTTCCCGGAGGATTAGGCGGCATCCGTCCAGCAGCCGGGCTGTGGGGATGCTGATGGCGTTGGCGATATGGCGCAGAAGCCAGCTGGGCTGATCTCAGAGGGCCCTGTGGCCTTCCCTATCAAGGGGACAAAGGAACCTGAGCCCAGGAACAAGGAAGCCTCAATCATAGCCCAACATCTTTCCTGTGAAATACACTAATGTGCTCTCAAATCTAATGCACACATCAATTTTCAGAACCCTGAAACCAAGAAAAGTATTTTCTAGCTAATATAAGGCGCAGTAGCAAAATGTGCTCTCTTTGTCATTTGTCCAAAGAAGGTGCACATGACAGTTGCTGCCTACGTAGGATTCCTTCTTTAAAAACAAAAGGGTTCAGTGAGGGCACCAAAGCTTCCAGCATTGGGATAGAAAAGCTTGGGATGCATCTATGCCAGTGTCTCTCAACCTTCCTAATGCCACGACCCCTTAATACCATTTCTCATGTTGAATACTGGTGGGGTTGTGGTGGTAGTGGTATTGATTTTGTCATTTGGGAGTTGTAGTTGCTGATATTTATAGTTAACCTACAACCAAAGAGCATTCTGAAGTCCACCAGTGATTGAATTGAGCCAAACTTGGCACACAGAACGCCCATGCCTGACAGAAAATACTGGAAGGGTTTGTTGGGCATTGTCCTTGAGTTTTGGAGTTGTAGTTCACCAACATCCAGAGAGCACTGTGGACTCAAACAATGATGGATCTGGAACAAACTTGGCACGAATACTCAATATGTCCAAATGTGAATACTGGAGGAGATTGGGGAAAATAGATCTTGACATTTGGGAGTTGTCGCTGCTGGGATTTATAGTTCACCTACAACCAAAGAGCATTCTGAAGTCCACCAGTGATTGAATTGAGCCAAACTTGGCACACAGAACGCCCATGCCTGACAGAAAATACTGGAAGGGTTTGTTGGGCATTGTCCTTGAGTTTTGGAGTTGTAGTTCACCAACATCCAGAGAGCACTGCGGACTTAAACAATGATGGATCTGGAACAAGCTTAGCACGAATACTCAATATGCCCAAATGTGAATACTGGTGGAGTTTGGGGAAAATAGATCTTGACATTTGGGAGTTGTCATTGCTGGGATTTATAATTCACCTACAATCAAAGAGCATTTTGAACCCACTCATGATAGAATTGGGCCAAACTTCCCACACAGAACCCCCACACCTTGAAGGGACTCACTGGTGTGCGCCTCCTTCCAGCCTCACACACTCTCCCTTGCCCTCATATGCGCACCATGCTGCCGTGTGCCCAGCACGCCTGCTCTCCCCATCCCACTTGGAGTCTCAGAAACAGTCCTCCCCTTGGCTGAGAAGCCGACCAATCACAGCGGAGGAGGGATTTTGGTGGAAGGATTTGCCATCTGTTTCCAAAAAGGAAGAGAAGGACAGGCGGAGAGAGTCCCCTTTGGGGTGAGAAGGGCGGCATATAAATGTCACAAATAAATAAAATCTTCAAAGGGGTTCCTAAGACCATCAGAAATATAAGTTTTCTGATTGTCTTTGGCAACCCCTCTGAAACCCCCTCACAACCCCCCCCCAGGGGTCCTGACCCCCAGGTTGAGAAACACTGGTCTAAGGGATCCTGAACTGGCCCTTGGCTTTAAAAGTTTGGGGAGCCCTGGACGAAATGGTTCTCCTTAGCGCAGTGGTTCTCAACCTGTGGGTCCCCAGATGTTTTGGCCTTCAACTCCCAGAGATCCTAACAGCTGGTAAACTGGCTGGGATTTCTGGGAGTTGTAGGGCACAACACCTGGGGACCCACAGGTTAAGAACCACTGCCTTAGCGTCTCCATGGGTTGGAGATGACCTGAAGGCCACAACAACAGCAAACCATTACTCTCCAAGGTCCTGAACGACTCCCTCTGAAGGAGATCCATCCCCTTGATTCTGCCCTGGCTTTAACTATAGTGGAATTGAGCTGGACATAGTCTATGGATTTGGTAGAAAGCTCAGTTTAGATAAGAAGAGGCCATGAAGAATCAGGGAAAAGGAGAATAATAGGGGCCAAGGTCAAGAGTGAGATACCCCTCCTGTTATTGCCGGCTTTATCCAACTCTTGAAATAATCCACAAGCTGTAAAGCAAATTGAACTAGGAGCCTTAACACAGAGCGTAGCTAGGAAACGGACTGTTCCTCCCAACGAGTCGCCAGAGCTCTCCGCTGCCAACCCACTTTCCAGCTGTATTTAATTCTAGCATTCTCAGGTTGTCTCCTTGGGAGAAGACAGCAAAAGATCCACGAAGGAGCTTTGGGACCCATCCTCTCTACCTTCTGTTTCCTTGGGGGCTCGGAGGATTGTTCTTCTAACCTGTAGCAGAGGGGCCTGACTCTTCCTCTTCTGCCTGAGTGGGCTTCTTCTGAGTCTCCATAGATGGTAGCACTACCTTGAAAAGGGTTTGCTATATATTTTCAACTAGCTTAGGTACCCAGCTTTGCCCGGGTTATTTGAAAAAGTCAATTTTTAATTGAACAAAATGCATAAAGTTGTGGGTGAATTACGACTCACGTCAGGCCAGGTTAAGCTCAAGAAACTCCATCAGTACTTAAAGTTTGCTAAGTTAGGCAAGTTTGCTCTAGATGCATCATTGGTGGATTCAGTGTGCTCTCTGGCTGTAAGATGAACTACAACTCCCACTATGGTGAGTCAGTCCCCACAAACCCCTCTAGTAGGTTGAGTTAGTCATGGGGGTTCTGTGTGCCAAGTTTGGTCCAGGTCCATCGTCGGTGGAGGACATAGTTTCTCTGGTTGTGGGTGAACTACAACTCCCAGAAAGGAAGGTCAGTTTACCTCTAAACCCCAAATTTTGGATATCAGTTATATGTGCCAAGCTTGGTCCAGATCCATCGGTGTTTGGCTTCACAATGCTCTCTGGATGTAGGTGAACTACAACTTCCCCCAAATCAAGGTGAATTTCCCTCAAAGACCTCCAGTATTTTTGGCTGGTCATGGGGGCTCTGCCAAATTTTGTCCAATTCCATCTTTGATGGAGTTCAGAGTGCTTTTTGATTGCAGGTGAACTATAAATCCCAGTACCTACAACTCCAACATGTCCAAGCCAATTCCCCTCAAAACTCACCACTATTCAAATGTGTTCATATCAGGTATGCATGCCAAATTTCCATGTCCATCATTGTTTGGGTTCCTAGAGCCTGTATGTAGGTGAACTACAACTCTTATAAATTGCTCCAAAGACCTCCAGTTTTGTTTTGTTTTTTGGTCATAGGAGTTCTGTGTGTCAAGTGAGTTCCAGGTCCATCATTGGTGGCATTCAGAGTGCTCTTTGATTGCAAATGAACTATACATCCCAGTACCTACAACTCCTACAAATCATGGTGAATTTTCCCCAAACCTCTCTAGTATGTTCAGTTGCTAATCAATTCCTCTGTTTGCAGTGTGTCATAGAAAAGAATAGGAAAGGATTAAGTGAGAGGCAGTGGGCAAGGCCATGGAAATTCAACACCAACGGAGAGAGTCAGAAACACTGGGATGCCTGTGGTGGAGGAAACACATAAAATCGAGGATGGAATGGTTCCCATATGAAAGCCTTCTTGTGGGTAGTGGGGGGTGTGGTGTTTGTGGAGGACATTGGCAGGACTCTTGGACATGTTCATGGAGCTCACTATAACTTGCAATGTCATTGGAGGGAGGGCCATGGGTGTCTCCTGAGTAATGGGAGCTATAGTTGTTTGAGGAGGCAGGAGCTTGTCTGTGTAAGTGGACACTCTAGCCACACACACATACATATTTTCACTTTTATTATGTGTATAGATTTAGAAGAGTCAGCCAAGATGAGCTGGAAGAGATCGAGTGTTCTCTGCTGGGAAATAAAGTCACAACCCTTGTCTGAGCAAGTGTCCTCAAAAAGTGGGGAAATGACAACCTTAAGGAGTTCCTATAAAGCTGAACAGGGCTAGTATGGGGACAAAGGGGTTGCATTAACCCCCTGGAAATGGTGGTAGGCTGTGAGGCCCACCACTGCACACAAATTGCCCACAAATGCCCCTTAATTGACAATAGTAGTTGGCCAATGGGGCAGATTCACTAGAGAGGTGGTGTTGGGCCTTCCAAAAGAGGCTGGGCATCTACTTGCTTTAGCTGGAGATCCTGTATTGAGTAGGGGGCTTAGACTAGATGGCCTCTGGGAAGCCCTCTAGGGTTTTTCAGGGTCTGTTGTCAGCCGTGATGAGCTTCAAACACCTGAGCCAAAGTTGGCTCCCAAGAAAATCCACCCTCCTTTAATGTGAGACAGAATGATCTTACTTACAATATTTGGATGCGAGAGACGCAGCAAAACCCCAATTTCGGTTCGAACGATCTTCTTATCAATCTGAAGATTTCAAACGTAGGGACACCAATAAATCAGAACAGTATATAAGAGAACTGAATCATTTGCTTGAATGTTGTTATCTTAATGACGCGTTTCTCCAATCTCCAGCTCACTTATCCTTGCCTGGCCTTTCTGAGAAGGCCTCCTTTAGAAGGTCTCCATGGCAATATCTCCATGGTAATTGCTTCTGAGCATTGCATGCATACCTATTTATTTATTTTTGGGGTCCTACACCCAAATGGGGTTGATCTTTTTGTTGGAACCCCATGAGTATTTTAAGTTGGATCATGAAAGGTATGTGTACCAATTTTGGCTGAGATCCATCAAGCTATGTAGGAGCTTTTGCAAAACATGCATGCATATATACTTTCATAGATAGATAGATAGATAGATAGTGGGTGGTGGTGGTGGGGTTGAAGGTAGCTTATATACTTGAGTATAAGCCAACCCAAATATAAGCCTAGGCACCTACTTTTACCCCAAAAAACTGGGAAAAAATATTGACTTGAGTATAATGCAGCGACTATTGGCAAATTTCAAAATAAAAATAGATACTAATAAAATCACATTAATTAAGGCATCTGTAAATTAAATGTTTTGGAATATTTACAGTATTTCAAAGAAAAACAGTCAACTAGCTCTGAAAGTGGAACAGTGGGGTCAACAAAAACAATATGGTATCAACAATAATTTAATAATAATAATAATAATAATAATAATAATAATTTGTATCCTACCCTATCTCCTCATGGGGACTTAGGCTGGCTTCCAACATACTAAAAGGCAAACATTCAATGCCTATATAAACAATGCAGAGCTATATATAGATCTATAATTATATATACTAATTTCACATGTGCATTTCCCTCTGAAACATATATTTGTGTGTGCATTTCCCTCTGTAATATTTGAAAGCCCTATATATCTATATTCATGTCTATCTATCTGGACATCTCTCTCTCTATAGATAATTATATCTATATAGGATTCGCAAAGACTTGGAAACCAGTGAGGAAATAATGTATACATATGGAATGGGCCCCCTGGTGGCACAATGGGTTAAACCACTGAGCGGATGAACTTGCTGACTGAAAGGTTGGTGGGTTGAATCCGGGGGACAGGGTGAGCTCCCACTGTTAGCCCCAGCTTCTGCCAACCAGCAGTTCAAAAACATGCAAATATGAGTAGATCAATAGGTACTGCTTCTGCGGGAAGGTAACGGCGCTCCATGCAGTCATGCTGGCCACATGACCTTGGAGGTGTCTCCACTTGCTTAGAAGTGGAGACGAGCAACACCCCCCAGAGTTGGACATGACTAGACTTAATGTCTGGGGAAACCTTTACCTTTACTATATATATAGATACAGATATACAGGTACATGTAAATCTCTAGATAGTTATTTGTGTATAGGATTTGCAAAGACCTGCAAACATACGAGGGGAAAATTCATGTAAAAATTAATGTATATCGATAGATACAGATATATAGGTACATAGGGACTTCAAAGGCTTGCAGGTGCAATGTCTATATATCTGTAGGAGAGATTAACAAATATTTCAGGGGAAAATGCTTTTATAAGATCAATGAATATATATGATTGGCAAAGACTTCAGGAGAAACATATAGAAACATATTTATAGATCTATAGAGCTTGCAAAGGGCAGTGAACACTTTCAAGTTAACACATTTAGATACACACACAAAACCCCCAGAAAATTGGATGGGTTTGAACAGGCCCATAGCCAGGATTTCAATTCCGGGGGGGGGGGGGGGGGGGGGGGGGGGGGGGGCTGAGTCTGAGTGAAAGAGGGTCTACACTAGCAAACCTTTTGTATCATTACCCCTATACCCCCATGCATATGGGATATATTGAGTATGGTGACCAGATCATGATATGAATAAACATAACAGTTTAAATAATGTACCAGTAAGGCCTTCTGCGGACCACCATGAGAATTTCAGGTGGGGGGGCTGAAGCCCCCAACCCCCCCCCCCCCCCCCCGGCTACTTGCCTGGGTTTGAAAAAGAGCCATACAAATAAGGAGGACATGAAATATATCTCCTTTCCCTCCTTCCCTCCTTTTGAATGGAAAAGAAAACACACTGTTTAAGGGATATTGGAGTCCATTCCCCCCTATAGGAAAACTTTGCTTCACGACCTCCACTAAAACCAGCTCTCCTCCACAAATAACCTGTGCTTGTTTATCTCGTGTTTATCTCGCCTGAGTTTTTAATCTGTTTCTACCCAGTTTTCTTTTATCCATTACATATAGCTATCCAATGTTATTGTGATTGCGTTTATTGTAATTTTATATTGCTATGTTGTCTTTTGTTTTATGTAATTGCATTATTACTGTTTATTATTTGCGTTTTCTGTTTTGTTTTATTTCATGTAATTGTTGTTTTGGGCTTGGCCTCATGTAAGCTGCACCGAGTCCCCATTGTGGAGATGGAGCGGGGTACAAATAAAGATTATTATTATTATTATTATTATTATTATTATTATTATTATTATTATTATATAAGAGGAGAGAGTAATAGATCATATATACCAAGCAATGGCCTTCAGGATTCGCTGCCCGGCCTTGACCCCATTATAAGCCGAGGGAGGCTTTTTCAGCTCAAAAAATGGGATGAAAAACTTGGCTTATCTTTGAGTAAATATGGTATATCGTTTCAAAAATGTCCTCTTGTTCATCTTCACAATTCACTAATGGGTTTTTGTTGAGCTTCTGTGGCACATCTATGCATCTATAAATTCATATAATCTAGGATCTCAGCCCATGCTTTTTAACCAGGATCATGAGGACTATAATCTTACTTTGGTTTGCAGGGAAATATTTAGCTAACTATTGAAGGAGGAGGAGGAGGAGGAGGAGGAGGAGGAGGAGGAGGAGGAGGAGGAGGAGGAGAAGGAGAAGGAGAAGGAGAAGGAGAAGGAGAAGGAGAAGGAGAGACAGGATGGAGAAAGAGAGAAGACAGGATTTACACTCACGGTTTTCTTCAGTATTTTGGCTGCATACTGGACCTGAGTCCCTTTCTCTTCGCAGCTGAAGACAACCGAGGTGGCTCCCCTAAAGAGGCAAGGATGCAAAGAGGTGCATTCATAAAGTTGGCAAAAAAATAAGACAGACTGCCCTCTGTATCCACGGAGGACTAGACGACGCCTAGAGGTTTATAGATTTAGTAGAGAAAGCAAATCTTTCTATGGCTGATGGCCCCAGAACCTTTCCTGGGTCTAGTACTTGGATACTCAAAGGTATTTCTCACCATGGATATTCTGTCCTATCAAAACCCCAATTGTTTTGAAACAAGATAAGGAGGGAACGCCAAAGTTTCCCAACAAATTGACTTCTCAAATTGTTATTGATTCTACAGTAAAGTCATCCCCCCAAATTTGCTGGAGTTAGGGGCACAGGATCCTTGTGAAAGTGAAAAACCATGAATCGAAACAAAACTGTTATCTTTCTAGACATCTCTAGGGAGTTCATCACATTGAAGCAGGGAAGTGTTTGGTAGAATAGAGCTCAGTCATACTCACTTTTGAAATGAAACACATGATTTCCCGACTTTCATCACACTGTTAGATGTATCCGTGTTACTCAGTTGTACTCAGCATTCTTTCAGCGGATTTGCCATCACACTGTAATTGCTAGGCACTGCCCACCATCCCTCCCCCGTGTTCTCAGTGGAACCCCCTCTCTATCTCGGCTGCCCCACAGAGAAGGGTGTGGATCTTGAAAAGCTATAACTCCCAGGACTGCATAGTATGGAGCTATAGTATTTAAAGTAAGGTCCAGCTGCCTTCATTTCACAGTGTAGATCAGTGGTTCTCAACCTGTGGGTCCCCAGATGTTTTGGCCGTCAACTCCCATAAATACTAACAGTTGGTAAACTGGCTGGGATTTCTGGGAGTTTTAGGCCAAAACACCTGGGGACCCACAGGTTGAGAACCAATGGTGTAGATGCGCCCAGAGAAGGCTCATGAAACCATAATTCCCAAGACCATCTCTTGGAGACATGGCATTTCAATTAAGGTTTGATGGCATTCATTCCACAGTATAGATGCACCCAGTATGAACCTTGAGAAACTATACTCCCAGAAGGACTCCATCGAATGGAGCCATGGCATTCGAAGTGGGGTGCAAGGGCATTCATTCCATATTGTAAACGCACCAAGACAAGGGTATGGACCTTGGGAAACTATGACTTCCAGGACTGCTCAGCATGGAGACATGGCATAACAACAACAACAAAAATGAATCTCTGCTGCTTTTATTCTCCAGTGCGGATGCACCCAGATATTATTTATTTATTTACAGTTTTTATATTCCGCCCTTCTCACCCCGCAGGGGACTCAGGGCGGATTACAGTGTACACATATATGGCAAACATTCAGTGCCAATTTTTGACATACAAACATATACAGACATACACAGAGGCTATTTAACTTTTTATGGCCGCCAGGGGAGCTGTTGCTTTCATCGTCCATCTGCGACGCTGATGAAGCACTTCCGCATTCCCCACATGCTTCCCTGCTGGAATGCTTTGCTGGAGTCTTCTTTATGGCCTCATAAATCAGTTAATTTAGCCTCCCCACACTTTAAGGTGGTACCTAATTTTCCTACTTGACAGATGCAACTGTCTTTTGGATTGCAAAGGTCGACAACAGGCTACACACAATTGGTTGGAAACCCACTCCAACCTGGGCTGGCTTCGAACTCATGACCATTTGGTCAGAGTGATCTTAATGCAGCTGACACTTAGCCAGCTGCGCCACAATCCCGGTACCAGAGAAGGGTATGTATCTTGGGAAACTATAACTCCCACGAACGCATTGTGTCCAGCTATGGTATTTAAAGTGGGGTCCAAGAGCATTCATTCTATAGTGTAAATGCACCCAGAGAAGGATATGGACCTTGGGAAACTATAACTCCCAGGACTGCACAGCATAGAGACATGGTATAATCATTTTCCCCTAACTTTCCTTAACAAGGGTATCTTGGTTCCTCCCACAATTTCCCCTCCCACAAATTGGGGGAACGTCTTATTTTAACCCTGAGAGCAACAAATGCCATCACATTACAGAACTGGCCATTCATCTGGCTCATTCCCCAAAAATCCATTCCCCACCACCTCCTGAAATGTTTTAAAATAATGCTGGCCCCCATGCTTAAAATATGCAAAGAATGCTCTACCCTACACTTGAACCCAAGATAATGTGATGAACACAGTGAGTTACCGGTTTTAAGTGTAGGATTCAGTAGAATTTAGAAAATGTGATGAAGTGGTAATGTTGACTTATCAAGTTGCCACTGGTTCTACAATACAGCCAGCCCTCCACATCTGCTGGGGTTAGGGGCACAGGATAATAATAATAATAATAATAATAATAATCATCATCATCATCATCATCATCATCATCATCATCATCATCATCTTTATTTATACCCTGCACCATCTCCGCATTTCATGAGGCCAAGCCCAGAAATGCATTACAACAAAATAAAACCCAAAACCCAAAATAAACATCACAATAAAATAAATAAAACGTAAGAGTACAATACAATAATGCAAAATACAACAATAGATAAATCACAATCACAGCGAGCGGACCACATGTACGAGGTAAGATGATAAAGATGAGATAGAAATAAAACGCAAATAATTGTGAAGGAGGAACTCCTTAAAAAAAACAGAGTAATGGAGTAATGGAGACAGACCTTCAAACAGGCCGAGGGGAAATACAGTGTGGGGACAGACATTATGGGGAGCGAACAAAAGGAGATGTAGAGTCACTCTCCAAAAGCGCAGCGGAAAAGCCAGGTTTTAAGATTCTTCTTGAAGGCTGCTAGTGTGCAATCTTACCTGGCAATGAATTCCAGAGTCGTGGGGCCACAGAGAAGGCTCTCTCCTAAATGAAACCACTGGGAGAGGTCATCTGGGGTTTTGGAGTTGGGTGCCATCTCTACGCAGATGACGCCCAACTCTACTACTCTTTTCCACCTAATTCCAAGGAAGCCCCTTGGGTATTGGATGAGTGCCTGGCTGCTGTGGCTATCTGGATGAGGATGAATAAGCTGAGGATCAATCCTGTCAAGACAGAGGTCCTCCTGGTCGATTGTAAGCCAGATCGGGGTATAGGGTGGCACCCTGTGCTTGATGGGGTTGCACTCCCCCTGAAGTCACAGGTCTACAGCTTGGGCGTCGGTGGTGGCTGGGAGGGCCTTCGCACAATTAAAACTCATGCGCCAGCTGCAACCGTACCTCGTGAAGTCAGATCTGGCCATGGTGGTCCACGCCTTAGTCACCTCCAGATTGGATTACTGTAATGCACTCTATGTGGGGCTGCCCTTGAAGACGGCTTGGAAATTTCAATTGGTACAATGGGCTGCAGCCAGGTTACTAACTGCAGCGACTTGCAGGGAGCGGTCAACCCTCCTGTTTAAAGAACTCCATTGGCTGCCGTTCATTTTCCGGTCCCAATTCAAGGTGCAGGTTCTTACCTACAAAGCCCTGAACGGTTTGGGACCCGCCTACCTGCGTGACCGCATTTCTGTGTATGAACCCAGGCAATCTCTTTGATCATCTGGAGAGGCCCTGCTCTCCCTGCCGGCGCGATTGGTGGGGATGAGGGAGAGGGCCTTCTCTATGGTGGCTCCCCGACTCTGGAACTCACTCCCCAAGGATATCAGACAAGCCCCCACATTGGCAGTCTTTAGCAGGAGCCTGAAAAGGTGGCTGTTCCAGTGTGCCTTCCCTGAATAAGGAAACAATGCTCTGCTCTGATTAATTCTCTGCAATTGTCCTCAGAAGCACTTTACTACCCATTGGGTTGGTTTCCCTACATTATCTTTTAAAACCCTCCTGCTTAGATACATCCTACCTCTGTTCATGTCCAGTGTTTATTTTAAAATTTTCAATTTATTACATCTGGTCCGGCCATAAGGTTTTAAATTATCTGTGTTAGTGTTTATATGCGAGTTACATTGTACTTAATTGTACTGTTTTATTTCCTTGCTGTTTTGTTTTTACTGATGTGTTGTTGGGCTTGGCCTCATGTAAGCCACCCCAAGTCCTCTTGGGGAGATAGTGGCGGGGTATAAATAAAGTTATTATATATATATATATATATATATATATATATATATAATTATTATTATTATAATATTATTATATATAATAATATATATATGTTATAGGAGCCCCCGGTGGTGCAGTGGGTTAAACCACTGTGCCGGCAGGACTGAAGACCAACAGGTTGCAGGTTCAAATCCGGGGAGAGGCGGATGAGCTCCCTCTATTAGCTCCAGCTCCTCATGCGGAGACATGAGAGAAGCCTCCCACAAGGATGATAAAAACATCAAATAATCTGGGCGTCCCCTGGGCAACGTCCTTGCAGGTGGCCAATTCTCTCACACCAGAAGCGACTTGCAATTTCTCAAATTGCTCCTGACACAACAAATAATAATAATAATAATAATAATAATATTCGTTCCCATCAATTGGGCCTGTGGGAGAAGAAGGGGCGAGAGGAGGGCCTCTCCCGAGGATCGAAGATAGCGGGCCAATTTGTGGGGGGAGATCCGGTCACGAAGGTAGGCGGGTCCCAAACCGTTTAGGGCTTTATAGGTGATGACCTGTACCTTGAATTGGGACCAGAAAATGAACAGCAGTCAATGGAGCTCCTTAAACAGGAGGGTTGACCGCTCTCTGTAATTCGCCCCAGTTATTAATCTGGCTGCTGAACGTTGAGCTAGTTGTAGTTTCCGGGCTATCTTCAAGGGTAGCCCCACGTAGAGTGCATTGCAATAATCCAATCTAGAGGTAACTAAGGCATAGACCACCGTGGTCAAGTCAGGCTTCACGAGGTATGGTCGCAGCTGGTGCACAAGTTTTAATTGTGCAAAGGCCCTCCCGGCCACCGCCAACACCTACGCATCAAGAGTCAGCGCTGAATCCAGGAGGACCCCCAAGCTGCAGACCTGGGACTTCAAGGGGAGTGCAACCCCATCCAGCACAGGTTGCCACCCAATACCCCGGTCAGATGAGCGACTGACCAGGAGGACCTCTG